GCAGCAGTCTCGGTGGTAGAAGTAAAGCAGTCTCAGTCGTAGAAGTAATGTAGTCTCAGTCGTAGGGGTAGAACAGTAGCAGTCGTAGCCGTAGTTAGATATCAGTTGTAACAGTCGCAGTTTTATCAGTTGTAGCAGTCGTAAGAATTCAGTCGCTCATCTAAGTTGTAACCGTCAGATTGTGAAACTAATATTGTACCTTTTCTAATACCTGTTTTAAATAAATCTTATTAGTAGGATTAAACTGGGTGTATGTTAACCTTGCCCCTCTCACCCTAAATAAATTAATCCCGACATTTGGGGGCTCGACCGGGATTAAAAAGGTAAAAGAAAAAGCTACTGTTAGTTTCACATAACGAAAGTTGTTAAGTTGTTGAGTAGCACAGTTGTTAAGTAGCAAAGTTGTTAAGTTGCACAGTTGTCAAATTGCAAAGTTGTCAATTTGTTAAGTTGTAAAGTTGTTAAGTTGTAAAGTTCTAAAGTTGTCAAGTTGCCAAATTGTCAATTTGCGAATTTGCCAATTTGTAATGTTACAAAGTTGTTCAGTTGTGAAGTTGTGAAGTAATTAAATAAATAACAACGTAAGATGCCCGACGCACACGTAGAATCCGTAGACTGCAGCTAAGGTAAAGAATTGGACAGAACGGTTGTCCACAAAAGTTGCAAAAATAAGAAGTCTCAGTTGACAAAAGAAATAATTAGGAAAATGAAATCAGTTGAATTAAAAGCAGAAGCAAGGAAGCTGCAGTTATCAACAATCGGCACGAAGGAAGTATTAAGAAAGAGACTGCTCACACATATCGAAGAAATAAATAAAGAAGCAGACGAACAAACAGACGAAGAAACAGACGAAGAAAGAGACGAGGAGATGGACGAAGTCACGGAATCGGAATATGAATACGAAAAAACGAAGAGAAGTCCTCCGTCGTCGTTCTTGATTCGAGATGTGGAAGATAGTCTTCCAAAATTTGATGGAGATGGTTTAGTCTCAGTAAAAAAGTGGATAGACCAATTCGAAGAGATGGCAGAAATCCTCCAATGGAACGATCTGCAAAAGTTGATCTATGGAAAACTGATGCTGCRAGGTTCCGCTAAGCAATTTGTAGAATCGGAGCAAGGTATCATCACGTGGCCAGCTTTAAAAAATAAGTTATCTAGTGAGTTTAAAGATATTGTCAGTAGCGCGACGATCCACGCTCAGTTGGTTGAAAGAAAGAGACGGCCGGATGAAACAGGTCGTCAATATATCTATGTGATGAAGGGAATAGCAGCATTAGGTAAAGTAGAAGAAAGAGCTCTGATAGACTATATAATTAACGGGGTGGTAGACGAAGAGATGAACAAAGGGATTCTATATCAATCACGATCTCTAGAAGAATTAAAAAGAAATATGGAAATTTACGACATTATGAAAGGAAAGTCAAGAGCTACGAAGAGTTCAAGCAGAGGTGATAATGCTGACAAAAGAGAAAGAAGAACGGAGGAAGTTAAGATGACAAAATTACGATGTTTCTCGTGTGGTTCACTCGATCATAATATAAAACAATGTCCGATGGTAGAGAAAGGTCCAAATTGTTTCCGTTGTGACGAATTTGAAGACATTTCAAAGGCTTGTGGAAAGCGTGTCAACCTTATCGCCGCTTCGGAAGATTCAAAGTCGATGGCGATACAGGATAAAGTGGTGAAAATGTGTACAATACGAGAAAACGAAGAGAAGGGAAATATCCAGAACCACGCTGAGCGAGAAGATTTAGAAGAAGAAATCAAGAACCACGTCGAACGAGAAGATGTAGAAGAAGAAATCAAGAACCATGCCGAACAAGAAGATGTAGGAAAAGAAGTTCAGAACCACGCTGAACGAGAAGATGTAGAAGAAGAAATCAAGAACCACGCCGATCAAGAAGATTGTGCAAGATCCGACGACGAAGAAGACGCCGACACAGTGTTGAGCGAAGAGACAACGAAAGGTGTTTTTATTATAACGGTGCGTGAGTTAGGTGTTAGACCACAGTGTGCGAAGGAAGTAAATCAGTTGAATAAAGATCATAAACCCGTAGAAAAGGTAAAAACTCCGATAGAAGTACGAATTAAGTTGAATGATAATAAATCCGTAGTGTTAAAATCGCGTAGATTAGCTCCGTGTGATRAAGAAATTTTATACGAACAGATAACGCAATACTTGGAAGAAAGTGCTGAAAGTGTATCACCTAGTGAAGTTGAAAAATTTAAAGAGTTTGACGAAAAAGTAGAAGTCGTGCCTCCAGCCAAAGAAAAGATCGCAGAACCAGCAGACAAAGAGGAGCCAAAAGAAGATGTTGCACAGGAAAGGATGAAGATTATAGAAGAAATATTATCAGAAAATGTTGAAAAAATACAAGAGAAAGCAGAAATCAAACCAGAAATAAAAATTGTAGAAGATTTGATAAAGATCACGGTGGAAGAAAGCAAAGAAAAAATACCAATGATAGATGTTGTAAAAAGTAAACTTGAAAAGCCTACAGTAACTGCATTTGTAATTCCAGAAAAAATAAAAACAACGGTTAAAGTGGAATCCACGGGAGAAATCAAAGAAGAAGAGATTGAAAAAGACGAAACAATGTTGATATCCGAAGAAAAGAAAATAGAAGCGATTAAGACGATTGCAGAACCGCGACCATATGAAGATTTCACGTTGGAAAACGGCCTGTTGAGAAAAAGAAAAGAACGCGAAAAACAGTACGAAGAAGAAACTCAATCTTCGGGGACCGAAGATTCGCAGAATGGCCGAATGTAGGAGAGTTTTAAGTGTAGCAGAGGTAGACAAAAACTAGTATTCAGTCCTTTCTGTAGATCTTATTTTATTGAAAAGGAAAAATCTATTCAGACTAAAAGAAAAGATTAGG